ATGAGAAAAAGCAGAGAGAGCAGAACGTTAGAGATTGAACTAACAGATTCTGCAGAGTGGGAGAATAGAGATAGAATGAAGTAAAAGGAGGGAAAAGGGGGTCCCTATGTCCTCCAGCAGTCTAAGCCTATAGCAGCATTACTATAGAAATAGCTCAGGAAAACAGACGTTTATCTGCCTTCATCCATAACCATTGATCTGATCTCAGTCTGTTTGTGTTTCACTCAAGCAGAAATATTCAGCAAATTAAATTAGCAGAATATTTATTTCAAACTGCAGAATTTTTGACAGGAATTAAAGAACCAATAAACGTTTTCCTGAAAAACATTAATGAACTCATGTTGGATTCTTATTATAATAGCTCTTTTAATAAGGGTTTTTATTTTATGATTTTCTGGCAAGAAAAGATTATTTAGTTTAATTTCAATTCAGATTTTATTTATATAGCGAAATTCCCAATATATAACTTGTCAAGGCATATGTAGAGTGTAGTTTATTATGTGCTCATATTAAATCATTCAATGGATACATTATGCTTCTGAGTTCATTCTTTTAAGTTATTTAAAATCTATTTATTACTTTTTGTACAGACTTTACTCCTAAGAGTGCTGCAGAGAACATGAGCTGGTTCTTATAACTGCAAAGACTTTATCTGGAAACATCAGACACATTTTATCCTCTAGTCACATCTTTTTTAAAGGTTCAGCAAGAAGATGGTGGATTCATTTCTTAATTTTCTTTTATTTGCTTAAAACCTCCTATTTCTGGGAAAGAAAATACAAACTGGGCCAATATTTGACCCTCTTGTTCTTTTTCATGCAGATAAACACTGTTAGATCCAGTTTATTATCTGAACTGTTTTTGTCCTCCTCTCTGAAGACCTGAAGGTGTGGAGAACAGATCCAGGCTCCATCTTTGATTTTGACCCTCTAGAAGACAACATTCAGTCCAAAAGTCTCCGCAGAATGTCTGGTAGATCACCTGAGAAAAATCTTCACTTTTGTATTCACAATAAATAACTATACATATATATTTATAAGGAATAAATGAATAACTAATGTATGGAGAAGCTACTTTACACCAACTCATCAGACTGCTAACTGTTTCACAAATTAGAGTTTGTGGTGCACGAAACAGTGAAATGCTTTTCTCTTTATGTATTCAGTCAAATCATGACGTTACCTGCATGACTTTTTGTTTTTGGTTTAACTTTAATATTCAAAATGAAAAAATTTATTAAAAAGTAGTGAAAAAAATTGTTTGGTTAGAAAAGAAGAAAAATGTCCTGATTCATCTGACATTTTGATTCCTCAAATATTAATCATAAATCAGCAATGAAAACTAATTTCTCACATCAATATCCTAACATTAAAGATGACAAATGCAATTTGTCAATTCTGCTGATTTTAGAAATGGGTTTTGTATTTAATGCGGAAGATTAAACAAAAATATCTACTAAACCTTTGTTAGTGTGTATATTATACAACAAAAGACAGAACATATATATATATATATATATATATATATATATATATATATATATATATATATATATATATATATATATATATAGATAGATATATTTTTTTTTGCATAGGATTCGTCAAAATCTATTCTGAATTCTGACCTTTTTGGTCCCTGCCTGGACACCATTGGCGGTTGTAAACAGGGGCCAATGGGGGCCAGTGCCCCCAACTTTATTCTCGAAATAGAAGAAAAAAAATCTCTGGCCTGGCCCTAATACTCTGTCGTAGAACAGATCCCAGCCCTATTTTATTTTAGCACCAAAGAAATAAAATATTTTAATGTACCCCTTGCAATGCACTCGCGGACCACTAGGGGTACGAGTACCCCCTGTTGGGAATCACTGCTGTACATAAAATCAGGTGCTCTGTTAGTTAAAACTATGTTCAACTGTCATACCTGTTAAAATACAAATTATACAATACGAATACTTTATGAAACAGAAACTGAAATAAATATTCTGAACTAAAGTACACCACATTTCAGAAGTAAACCTGATTCTGTAATGTAAGACTGAGCAGCGTTAACAGAACCATGAATCAAAATGACTCTTTCTTCTTTGTGCTGAAAGGTAGGAAGAAAAATACTGAGAATCACTTTCCTCTAGATCCAAACAGAAACAGTTTATTTGAATAGTGTTTATATTTATGAACAATAAAACATAAATAAAATCTTATGCGTCCCTTCAGGAGCAAAGTTTCCTAATATTGACCTAACTAACAGCTGTTTTTCTCCAGCAATCAAATATCTTAATTAAAATCATTTATTTGTTCTAATGAGCGTTTCTTTTTCTCCGTCCTGTTTGACTGGCGGCTTTATCCCTGCTCTGTGCTGCCATCTGGTGGTGGCTGCCTGTCAGAGCGAGCAGGCCGCAGGCTGAGCAGGCAGCACTCCCAGCAGTCTGCCAGCTCTCTGACCTCTGACCTCTGGGACCGCAGCAGCAGCAGCACTCCTGGTATCTGTTCCCGTGTTTCTGGAGTGTTCAGTGTGTTTCCCTCAGACTAACTCACCGGTTTTTGCATCCAGGTCACTGAGTTTTTCTCACGGCGATCAGCAGGTTCACTAACAGAGGTCAGGTGTCTGCTGACTGCTGACCTCCTTTCTCTTTTTGTGTTTGTCTATCAGCTCCCGTGCTGCCCGGAGCGTACCACCATCATCATCATCAGGGCCACCAGATGCAGCAGCATCAGCAGTATCATGGTTACATGCATCAGACCAGCATGTCGTCCGTCAGATCCGTAACCTCACCGCCACACTCTGCCACATCGGTACGCCCCCACACAGCACCAATCACACGCTCTTTGTTTCTAGCAGGAGCATCCTGCTAAAGGGTTTAAACCCTTAGAAATATTTACTTATTTTATGGTTATTTTGTTTTAAATGTACGACAGAGTATTAGGGCCAGGCTAGAGATTTGTTTGTCTTCTATTTCGAGAATAAAATTGTAACATTATGTGAATAGTCATAAATTATGAGAATAAAGTCATAAAATTCACGAGAATAAAGTGATAATATTAAGAGAATAAAGACCTAAAATTATGAGAAACAGGTTGTATTTTATGACAACTCTAAATGAAATGAAACACCAATTAGAGCATGAAAAAAAATGAATGAAAGGAGAATGGTTTTAAATCTGTTTTTATTGTTAATCATTATAAACTTTTCTCATTTCAAATGTATATAGAAATAAAAACTGAGATAATGATCAGAAAACCATCACTTAGAAAGAACGGGGCAGTTTGGAGCTCTGGGGGGCTAATAGTAGAGCTTTTTGAGCCTCAAAATGGCCTCTAACACTTCAAACTAGATGTTTGCATATTCTAAAGTAAAACGCTTTGGATACCTGATGGAGTCAAAAGAGTTAAGATGCTCTGTTGTTTTTGTCTTTGCAATCTAGAGAGTGTTGTTGCTTTATTTGCTTGATGAGGGAGAAAATACACCTTATAATAAAGAAAGTCCATCTAAAATAAAAATCTGTTTGCAGTCCATCCGTATATATCTATATCCAATAACTAATACAATTTTTTGTAGCAAGAAAATATTTCAATTTGTTAAAGGAGAAAAAGTAAATCTGTGATAGCAGGTAGTTATTAATAGCTGTAATAACAGGGTTTATACGGGAATTAGTAACTCTAACTTAATGCTTTTTAATACTCTTAGAAATAATTTTAATGCCATCAACAAGTACCTATGACTCTCTTATATATATATATATATATATGAGAGTTTTCCAGCCACTTTTGTTAAAATTTGCATTTTCCCCATTCTCTTGCTTTTTCTCTGCCTTGAGCTTCTGTTCCAAACATACGGCTTTATGAAAAACCGGAAGCAGTTCCATGCAAACACAAAACTAATCACAATGCCAACTAAGGCCTTAATTTAGAAAATTATAATTTAATGACTTTTAATGATTTTTAATGACCCGCAGAAACCCTGAATAAAGAAATAAGTAACTATTTCGTAGAGATCAAATATATCTCTATTAATTGGATGCATGTATCACAAGTAACCGTCACATTTTAACATTTACAAATGGAAATCTTACCACTTTTTAATGTGGGCCTTCTGGCTTTCCATACCTGCTCCCGTCACAATTGAACCTCATTACAGATTTCTGCTTATGTGAAATTCTTCAATTTGAGCAAAAGAAAATTGTCAAAATAGCTGTTGATGTCATGCAGTAGGATTTTCTGTTTTTTTCACCTCCACCACTGCAGCTGCATGATCCTGTTGGTGGAAACGGCTGATAGTCACCTCAGTCCAACTTCTAGCAAAGCTAACAGATCCCTGACAGAAACTACTTTTTAACAGCCTGCACAGAGAGCGGGCCGTCTGCAGCTCAGAGCGATCTGATGTTAAACTCTACCAGCAGCTTGAGGCGTATTAACAGGCAGGTTTTAATCAGGGGAATCACAAAAATAATCCTAGCAGAACGACAGGCAAGATTTCTGATCAGTAGACCTTCAAGCCCCTTTAAGACCTGCTGCTGAACCTGCTGCGACTGGTTCCATGTGTGCAGTGTTACCCAAAAACAAGAAGCTTTGCAAGCAGCCCTGAGCGTATCTCTAACTGTTGATCTGTTTTACCTCAGCGTGTTTATAGAGCGCTGTACGACTACGCGGCCCAGGATCACGACGAGGTGTCCTTCAGGGACGGAGACGTCATCATCAACGCCCAGCCCATCGACGAAGGCTGGATGTACGGCACCGTGCAGAGAACCGGCAAGTCCGGCATGCTGCCGGCGAACTACGTGGAATGCTGCAACTGAAGAAGAGGAGATGGAGGAGGAGATGGAGGACGAGGAGGAGTCCTGCAGGGCTGAAAATGTTCTCAGTGTGTTTAAAGCAGATGATGGCGATATTCTTTAGTTTTCAGGAGGTTTTTATTTTCCAACACCTGCAGAAATAATGTCTGCATGTTCTCAACCGATCCTGTGAGTCAGAGAGAGTCACAATAAAAAGGTTTTACTCATTTGATTGACAGATTCATTTAGGAAGGAAGGATGCTGCTCATTTAAAACGTGTGAGATGAGCTTCTAATCAAAGGAGAGATGTAGGCTCCTCTGAGGGAAAACATCACTTTTTACAGCAGGGAAGGAAAAGGAAATGAAGCTGGTTGGAGAATAAAATAGTCCTGATAGGTTGATTAACCTCCTTTGCTTCAGGTTAACGCTCTGAAATATTTTATTTAGTGTTGTTGTTTTTTTTTGTTTCAGCTACAGATCAGAACTAAGCACATAAGCTCAGACCAACCTGTTCTCACTGATAGACTCAAAGCCAATTCTGATGCTTTGGTTTTTGACCAAATTAAAAAATAATCCCACATTTCTCATTATGATCACAGCTGGTTTTCATTCCTGCTGGATCTACAGGCTTTACCTGAAGGTCTTTTTACACAATGTTGGATTATTTCAACTAAAGTTCTCTCATTTTACCAACTAATATACATCATATTTTGGTTTTTAAGTGTTTGCTTTTTTTCATTGGCTTGTTTGTTTTTTGTTTTTTTTTTACGTAAATCCTAAAGAATCTGTGGATCATAATAGCTCACATTTCACCCAGACTTTAATTTTACAACTTCAAGCTAATCATCTTGTCAGAGCTCAGATCTTTGGACCCAGAATTCAGGCAGATGGACTGAAGTGATTGACAATAGCGTTCATTGACAGTTTGACGAATGTGCGACTCAGCAGCTAGGACAAAAAAGGCTGGAATCTCTGTAGAGGGGAAAACACAGGTTAGTGACCATGTAACTGACGGAGGACGATAACAAGCGTGTGAGTCACTAACCTGGTTATAAAATTCAGTCTAAGCCCAGAGGAAGGAGTGGAATCCAGTTGAATGATTTTCCACAGCAAGCGGCAGATGCCTCCTAGAGAGTTCCAGAAACTGAAGCTAAGAAGGCTGCTGAGCAGGCTGACAAGCAGAAGCCTTGCCTTGTCCAGAAGGAGAAGCCAAAGCCGGTGTCGATGAGGTAAACAGTCCCGGCCAAAAGATCAGAGATCCAAAGAGGTACCTAAGGGGAATCCAAGTTGGCGTCAGGAGACAGAACCAGGGTCGTAAGCAGGCAGAATGCAGCAGGTGTCCGAAGACAGGTCAGGCAAACAGATCAGAACAGGGGCAGGCAGGCTCAGGGGTCAAGGAGCAGAAACTAGTCAGGTTAAGGTTATCAGAACAACACACTTGGTACGCTAGAGAACTCGCACCTACGGCTCGAATAATCTGGCACTGATGGCTGGGAGCAAGCAGCTTAAAAAGAGGCAAGAGCAGGTGGATGAGATGTACAGTAATGAGAGATCTGGGCGGAGCTTGGCAGGTGAACGGAATGAACAATGAAGCCAGTTATCAGTGCCAAGATCAAGTTAAAACGATTCACTTAAAAATCATTTGACAACATATTTCATTAATACATTTATTATTAGATCCACTAATAAAGATGCTTTTAAATTGTATTTCAGTAACAGATATTTTGTAAATCAAAGCAACATTTACAATAGTCCTTCTTTAACATAGGAAGGACCAGAAAGTATCCTTTCATAGCAGACATCTTTACCTTCAGTCCTAAAACTTCCTGAGTTAAACCGCTGCTAGT